GCCCAACTACATTATTTATGCTTATCAGTCCCTTCTCCATGCTACCTTCTCAGGGAAATTTAAGGGTAGGCAGCAGGTGTGAGGGCAGAATTGTTGAGCTAAATAAAATCTGTTCTTCCATTTAATAATCTTTCAGATTCCAAGCTGTCCTCCCATTCCATACTATCATCTTAGACTCAGCTGATTTTCCCTTAGCCCTGCAATATCTCCCTATCCATGCATGTTTATACATACTCACACCAGAAGGCCCTCCGCTTCCCCCACTCTCCTAACCCCAATTGGAAACTGACCAGTTCTCTGTTTACCTATAAAAGAGTTTACTTGTAAACTCTTTCTGGAGTGTTCAAGGCTCCCTTGCATATACCACCTTTTTGTTAGCCCTATAGAATTTTATTGTTTTAGCCTTTTCCCGCCCCTCTTGTTATCATGTTAGCAAAGGTCTCTCAAGGGCTCTATATAGAAGTCTAGACCTAAATTCAAATCCTTTTAGTACTGACAGAAGTTTGATAAAGTAAGTTACTTCATCCTTCTAGGTCTGCTTCCTGAAGTATAAAATGAGGCAGCTTTAATGTATCTGTTATCCAGTTGGGCATCTTTTCATTACAAGTGACAAAAAAATCTGACACTGGTTTAGGTAACAAAAGAAACTTACTGGTTATATAATTTCAAAGTCCAAGTGTTATAGGACAGGGAGAGGGGCAGCCCAAACCCCGCAAACCTGCCTATTCTACATGGGTTCTGCCATCCGCCGCATCAACACAAAACATATGAGACTTTAATGGGAAGGAACTTTAATAAAACTAGGAAACAATACAGGTAAGGCAAAGAGTCTAGTTTCTAGATGAAGCACCCAAAGTTACCCATCCCCTCGTGGGTAAAAGTCCATCCATATGGGAATGGCGCAGAGCAAGGCCCCAAAGCCTGCCACAAGTCTAAAGCATCTTCCAGTGGGGACCCACAGAGAAGGGTCACAAACAACCGGACAAGCCCGGAAGGAAAAGAGCAAAATCAACATCAAGATAAAAGCTGCCATTGTCACCTCCCCACGGGTCTCACCCACATCTGTGTCACCCAGTCCACGACCAAAAGACAAGCTCAGTTTCTTCACGTGTCTCTAGGCTCCATGCGCCTCCTCCAGGTCTCCTGGCTCTATCCTGCTTCCTTCCTCAGTCTCTTCTGCAGCTTCTCCTCTTCCTGCTCAGCTCCACCCTTCCTTGGGTGGGGCAGGGAACCTCCCCCTTTCCTGGGGACCACCCTGTTACACAAGGATAGGGCCAGCCTTCTGAGGTCTTGAAGCACAAACTCAAGTTACTGGAAAGCAGGTTTCCTCTAGCTCTCAACTTAGCTGCTCCTCTTCATCTATTGGGTGTATACCTTCTTTTTTCCTTTGTAGTAAAGTGGGTACTTAATACATATTGGTGGGTGAGTGAATAAAAACTGTCTGACACATCTATAGAATTTAAACCTCCTCAGCATTAAATCCAGAGGAACCATCCTTCTCTTCCAGGATTCAAACCAAGTCTCATTCATTAGCTCCCATTGGGTCATGTGCCTGATTTAGAACTTTCTTGAAAATATCTTAAGATAGCAAAATGTACTGAACTGTGTGTGGTAGTGAGGGTCAAAAAACACAGGACAAAGGGCTTATAAGTCCCATTTATCAGAGTGCAGGGAATAAGAGCAAGGGATAAGAGCAACAAGTGACAGTTTTGAGGCAACAAATAACTTACCTTGTCAGAGTTTCTCATCATCAACTGAAAGACCCTCACAGCTTTCTGTCCCTCCTGCCCCAGCCTTAATTCTATTCTGTACCGACTAAGTTGGTCAAAAGATATAGTTTTGGGCCCTCCCAGGTGGCGCAGGGGTTAAAGACAGCTCTATCAAGCTGCTGTCACCAGCCACTGCAACATGAGTTCGCTCCCCAGCCAGGGAGGTGACCCACATGGCGCAGCAGACCTCTCCTGTCACCCCGCTGCTCCCCTCAGCAGTGTATTTCTAGATCCGCCTGTTCTGCTTCCCACTGTTTATGATGAATCCTCACCCCCTGCACCTCTGGCCTACACCCCAGTTCGTGTATGCATAAATAAATTAATCTTTAAAAACAAAACAAGAATAGTCCTGATTCTGCTTGTTCTTATTACAACTGCTTAAAGAACAGGGGTCTTGGAACTGGCTCCTTGCTTTTACCAGCTGATAGCATTGCTGTCCTACTTTCTCAAAAAAGCAATTAAGGCACAAAGTGGCCAAATTTTACAAAGAGGGTTGCTTGTCTCAGAGCTGTTTACGGGTAGCTGATGTAAATGAAGGCTTTTGATATTCCATAAAGACATCAAGGCAATGCTTTCCAACAAAGACAATTAAGTGTTCTCTACCACTCATTTTTTACCATTAGGTAAATACAGTCTAACAGGATTTGATTTCCTTTCATTCTACAATCCAGAGCTCAGGAATAAAAGATAGCTTTGAATGAAAGGGCATGCACCTACTTAGAGACTTGATTAGTATTCTGCTTTCCTCTCTGGCATTTCCAATTGGCCTCTCTGATTTTCCAAAAATATGTATTCACTGAATCCCATTTTGGACTTAAAATTTTTCAGAAAAGCTTGTGTACACAGAGCATATTAAAACATATACAGGGGGGCCTCCCCGGTGGCGCAGCGGTTGAGCGCTGGGTTGCGAAGCTGCCCGCGGCCTCTGCGGCGTTGGTTCAATCCCCGGCTGCTCCCCGGCCACCAGAGGAGGGTCCCACATGGCGCGCAGACCTATCCTGCAGCCCGCTGCTCCCCTCAGCATTGTACTTCGGTCCTTCTGCCTGCTCTGCTCCCCACTCTGGCTCTGGTGAATTCTCTCACCCTCCCGCGCTTCTGACTGTACCCAGTGCATGTATAAACAAAACAAACAAACAAACAAACAAATAAATAAATAAAATAAAAACATGTCGGGCCTCCCGGTGGCGCAGCGGTTGAGCGCTGGGTTGCGAAGCTGCCCGCAGCCTCTGCGGCGCCGGTTAGATCCCCGGCTGCTCCCCGGCCACCAGAGGAGGGTCCCACATGGCGCGCAGATCTCTCCTGCCGCCCACTGCTCCCCTCAGCAGTGTACTTCGGTCCTTCTGCCTGCTCTGCTCCCAGCTCTGGCTCTGGTGAATTCTCTCACCCTCCCACGCTTCTGACTGTACCCAGTGCATGTATAAACAAAACAAACAAACAAACAAATAAATAAATAAATAAGACATGCCTCTATTAAAAAAAAAAAAAAAAAAAACATGCCTCTATTAAAAAAAATATATATATATACAGGGCCACATCATGGGATCTTGCTGAAAGGACTCCAGCTTGCTTCTCCATGGATTGGTGATTGGTTTAAGAAAATACTGCTTAAAGACTGGCCCTGTAACATAAGGAATAAGCAGAACCCTGATCAAATGTCAAATCCCACATTTCCAATTTTGAGACTAGGACACTGAACAGTTTCCCTTTTATGAAGAACCTTATATTTAAGTTCTATAGATGACATTTATGACTTAAAATACTGCAAGACTAACAATGAACAATACAGAAAGAAAATTGCAAAAACTATTCCATTTACAATAGCATCAAAACCATCCTCCCAAGTAGAAATTAACAAATGAGGGAAAATACTTGTACAATAAAACTATAAAAAGCTGTGTTAAAAGGAATTTTAAAAGCTATAAATGGAAGGTAACAACACTCCCCAACCCAATTACAAACACACTGCAGTCCCTATCAAGATCCCACCTACATGAGATAGTCACAGTCAGAGAGTCAGACAGTACAATAGTGATTGTCCACAGCTGTAGAGAGGCAGGGACTAGTGAACATTGTAGAGTTTCAATTCTGCAAGATGATAAGAGTTCTCCAGAACAATCTCCAGATGATGTTAGTGATGGTTGCACAACAATGTGAATGTATTGAATGCCACTGAACTGTATACTTGAAAATGGCTCGGATGGCAAATTTCATGTTTTATGTATTTTGCCACAATAAAAAAGCTGGAAAAAAATGCTGCCGGGTATGAGGTTTCAGTTATATTCTCAACACATTTTCTAAGGCATATATCTTTCCCTTTCTACACCTGGATTTTTCTTTCAAAAACAGGTTTCTAAACACATCAGCTGGAAGTACGAATGTACCATTGAGATAAGATAGCAAATTGAAACAATGGCATTGCTTCTTCAAAATTAAGTTATTTGAGGGCCTCCCTGGTGGTGCAAGGGGTTAAGCATCGCACTATGAAGCAATCCGCAGCCACTGCTGCACGAGTTCAAAACCTGACCAGCCAGGGAGCAACCCACATGCACAGCAGACCTCTCCTGTCTCACCCGCTGCTCCCCTCAGCAGTGTGTTTCAGTCAGTCTGCCTGTTCTGTTCTCCACTCTGTCTCTGGTGAATCCTCTCACGCCTCACACCTCTGGCTTATACCCAGCTCTTGTATGAATAAATATTTTTTTTTTTTTTTTTTTTTTTTTTTTTTTTATAGAGGCATGTTTTATTTATTTATTTATTTGTTTGTTCATTTGTTTTGTTTATACATGCACTGGGTACAGTCAGAAGCGCGGGAGGGTGAGAGAATTCACCAGAGCCAGAGCGGGGAGCAGAACAGGCAGAAGGACCGAAGTACACTGCTGAGGGGAGCAGCGGGTGGCAGGAGAGGTCTGCGCACCATGTGGGACCCTCCTCCGGTGGCCGGGGAGCAGCCGGGAATCGAACCGGCGCCGCAGAGGCTGCGGGCAGCTTCGCAACCCAGCGCTCTACCGCTGCGCCACCGGGGAGGCCCGAATAAATATTTTTTAAAAAAAATTAAGTTATTTGAACCTGGCATTTCCCTAGCCTTAAAGCTTAACTTCACAGGCCTTATAGTAAACATACATCCACTCTGTCTACTGCTTCTCCCTTCCAGCCAACTCTGTTTTTTGTAGAAAATAAACCAGAATGAAAACACTAAGAACACTGCAATTTATTAAATGAGATAACCTCTTTAAAGTTCCTCATACACAGTAAGTGTTCATTAGATGCTGCTTATTATTCCCTAGCTGCTATAAGGCACAGGCATTTTTCTAAACTTAAAAAATAGGTTGCAATCTCATTATAAAAAAGTATGATCCAAGAGAAAATAGAGTAAGATGGAACAAGCCTTTATTTTTAGACATTTTCACAAAGAGGTTGTCAGTAAATAAACTTTCTAGAGGAGAAAAGAGAACATGAAAATCCACCTCCAGTCATCACAGCTGCTCTGCTCAGGGCCGAGGCTCATCCTGGCCCGAGTGGTGGGGCGGAGGTGTGTACTTCCCCTCCTTGATTAGCTTATCCCTCTGTCTCCTGATGGCATTCAGGCGACGGATCTGTCAAAGGAAAAAGTATAAAATTAGGGGCAAAATGTGCACCAGAAAGTGAGGGCTGGAGAAACAGAATGAAAATTGATTTACTTTTAAACCACTTAAGGTTCTCATCCTAAAGAGCGTTAAAGTGTCTCTGAGATGAAACCCCTCTTTAAGAACTAACTTGAAATAGCTTCCTTAGACTTATAACAAATACTGTCCTGCTGGCTTCCCCCCGGCACAGCTGGTTGAGCACAGTGCTGTGAAGCTGTCCGCAGCCTCCGCAGTGCCGGTTCGATTCTCAGCCGTCCAGGGAGATTCCCACATGGCGTGGCAGACCTCTCCTGTCATGCCCTCTGCTCCCCTCAGCAGTGCTTTTGGTCTGTCTGCCTGTTCTGCTCCCCACTTTGTCTCTGGTGAATCTTCTCACCCTCCCGTGCCTCTGGTCTGTACCCTAGCTATTGTATAAATAAAAAATAAAAATCTTAAAAAAACAACAACAAATAATGTCCTATTATTATACATAATAATACCTCCTTGAAAATTAGCAACTGAAATGTTCCTATTACATATAGGAATCTAGGAATTTACAAAAACTGTAACAAGATCAAAAACTGCTAATGGGGGCCTCCCTGGTGGTGCAAGGGGTTAAGACGCAATCTATGAAGCTATCCGCAGCCACTGCAGCACGAGTTCGATCCCCCTGTGAATCCTCTCACCCCCCCCACCTCTGGCCTGTACCCCAGTTCTTGTATGCATAACAAATAAATCTTTAAAAATAAATAAATAAGGTCCTTCCCAGTGGCGCAGTGGTTGAGCGCCACACTGCGAAGCTGGCCGCAGCCTTCGCAGCGCTGGTTCGATTCCCCGCCAGCCAGGGAGAACCCCACATGGTGCAGCAGACCTCTCCTGCCTCGCCCGCTGCTCCCCTCAGCAGTGTCTTCCGTCCATCTGCCTGTTCTGCTGCCCACTCTGGTTCTGGTGAATTCTCTCACCCTCCCGCGCTTCTGACCTGTACCCCAGTTCTTGTATAAATAAATAAATCTTTAAAAAATAAATAAATAAATAAATAAATAAATAAAATGGTAATATATCAATTCATAAATTCCCAGGATGAGAATATGATCTTAGGACAACTCTTTAATGTTTCCAGATGAGTAAATCAAGACCAAGAGGGGAAGCGGCTTGCTTGAAGTCACTAAACTAGTAGCAAGAAGCAGTACCAAGCCCAGTTTTCGTAACTCCCAGTTCTTCCCCACTGCACTGCCCCCTCTTGGTGTATATTTTCCATGAGGAGTAAAGTCTCAATCTGAGCAATGCAATAACTGAGAAGACATGCTGGGAACTAAACAGTGGTAAGTGGCCAACAATGACACTCATTATTCCTCAGGATTCCTATTATTACTCACTAATGATCAATATTCAGGGATCAATACAAAATTAAAAACCCTTCTTTCCTTGAAGCTTGGCTTCACTTTATCAAATGCTAATAACAGAAGTTAAAGATAAGAAATAAAAAAGTTTTAATATAGATAACTGTCACAGATAACTGTGACACCAAAAAGCTGTAATAAAAACATTACTTGTTATATCCAGCGCATTGAAATTGGCAAAACAACAGCTCACACCCAGTGATTTCTTTAAGAGAGAACAGAGTGTATATGTTATGTAATTCATTCAGCAGGAGGAGGTGGATGTCATGCTGTTACAGCCTTTCCCTCTGAACCTTTGTTCAGGCTCAACTAAGCCACCTCATTAATACTTCTATCTACCCCAGAGTAGGAATGAATCCAGAGGTGGTTATATCAGGTTCAATGTAATAGCGATGTATGTTTTCACTTCTCTCCTAATGAGGATTCAATAAATCTGAAATACTTTCACCCAAAGATATTCAAGGACAAATATCCAAGGCTGGTTGAGATTATGTCACATCCTACTGTAAAGATGGAAATACACACACGTAATTTCTAACCAGGTGGCTATCATGGGGTACAATGCTACGGAAAATATGTGAGAAAATGAGGGGAAATACTGAACAAGAAGTCTTTCTCAGACCTGAAGACATATAACTTCCTTGACATGGAACCTAAGTAGAGGAATTGTTTTATCACAAATGTTTTGCCAATTCACTCTGGGCAACCACTGCCCAATGACCAGTTTAAAACACTTAAAAACAGTCCCAAAGAAACCACCTCCCATCTCTACCATTTCCTTACCGTTTTCTGCCGAAGCAGACATTCTACAAAATCATCCATTTCCACCTTACACTCTTTCTCTGCTCGAATACTACCAATTCCATGTGCACATTCTATCCACTCTTTTTCAAAAGCATGGCAGCGAGATGGAATCTTGTGAGGCTGCTCAGCGCTCTGGATTGTCATCCAGCGGTCTAAGTCAAGGCCCAGCCGTTTCTGCACATCAAAGAAAGGCATGACTGCTGGGGAAGAGAAAAAAAGAAATCATGCCAATAAAAGTACAAATGAGTAATTCCTAAGAAAAATGTGATAGTTATGATAAACAGTCCTCTAGAAAGGTATTTTATACTATTCTCCCAATTTTTCTCCAAAGTTTTTCATTAGACAGGTTCTCCCAGTTTATGGTAAATTTCTGTGCTTTTTCATAAATCCCCAAGGAAAGGAGAACTAGAACTAAAAAACTGCAGAAAGATTTTCTCTATATTGGGCCTCCCTGGTGGCGCAAGGGGTTAAGCACCGCACTATGAAGTAATCCGTAGCCTCTGCAGCACAAGTTCGATCCCTGGCTAGCCAGGGAGAAATATGGTGCAGCAGACCTCTCCTGTCTCGCCTGCTGCTCCCCTCAGAATTGTATTTCAGTCAGTCTGTCTGTTCTGTTCTCCACTCTGTCTCTGGTGAATCCTCTCCCTCCCTCCCCCCCATCCTTGGCCTGTACCCCAGCTCTTGTATGCATAAATAAATAAATCTTTAAAAAAAATTTTTCTCTATATTAAGTGATTTTTATTTATTTATTTATTTTATTTATTTTTTTGTGGGACCCTTGCCAGTGGCCGGGGATCAAACTGGCGCTGCAGAGGTTGTAGAGGCTGCGGGCAGCCTCGTAGCCCAGCGCTCAACTGCTGCGCCACAAGGGGAGGCCTAATCGTCATTTTTATCAAAAGTCAGAGTGTTTGTTTTGAATCAATAATCCCAAAACTGGGACCTCCCTGGTGGCACAAGGGGTTGAGACACAATCTATAAAGCTGTCTGCAGCCTCTGCAGCATGAGTTCAATCCCTGGCCGGTCAGGGAGCTACCCACATGGCGCAGCAGACCTCTCCTGACTCGCCCGCTGCTCCCCTCAGCAGTGTATTTCAGTCAGTCTGCCTGTTCTGTTCCAGACTCTGTCTCTGGTGAATCCTCTCAGCCCCTCCCCCCATACCTCTGGCCTGTACCCCAGCACTTGTATGCATAAATGAATATATCTTTTTTAAAAAAAAGAAAAAAAATCCCAAAACTTTAAACCTGAAGAACTGAAAAGAACACAAAATGAACACAAAAACATTTCCTTACATGTTTTACATGCTCAATATCACCGTATCAACTTAGATGATACTGCTCCTGAGAAGTAATCCTGCAATTAGTGTCCCTCCTCTTTGTTAGCATCCTCAACTTCTCTTTGGAGTACTTTGCACACCACTATAGTGGATTATTTACTGGAATCTCTCCTCTACCTGAACAATGGCTGGCATGAGGGCAAGGACCAGACAGAGGCCCAGTAGTTGTTGGGAAAATAAGTTTCAAACAACTTAAGTGAGCAACAACAGAGAAATGGATAATTTAATCCAGGTGCCACTTAGTAGAATATGATATGCATTGAGAAAAGAATACACAAGAAACATGTTTTAATGTTTTTAATGTACATGAACAAAAGGGACTACAATTATGCCAAGCAAAAATGGTATGGAAAAGAAAACTGGAAGGAAGCATGAACAAAAAAGTCAATATACTTCTGTATGAATGGTACATTTATAGATGGATTTAATTTTTAAAAATTTCTCCCCATTCTTTTAATCATTTACTAAGTAATAACGTTACTTAGTATTGTCCAGGTACTGGGATGTGAGGAGAGGGGTGCAGCAGCTGCAACGTAAGGTAGAATGTAGGCACACAGGGCATTGAGAGCCCAGTGGACAGTAGGGTTAAGCGCTCCAAGGAGAGAAAGCACCAACTCTGCTCAGGAGACTTGAAAATGTCTTTATGGTGGGCTGAGTTTGCCAAAAGATCCGAGGGCAGAATATCCCAGTAAGGGACAGCACGGGTTACAGCGGGAGATGGTGGGTATGTGTGGGGGGGTCACTGAGGGCCCAGAGGTGTCTGGGGTGCAGAGTGCATATCCGGAAGAACAAAATGCAGCGTCCTCAGAGGTTGGCGGGGCCTACATCACTCAAAGCCCTGAAAGCTTCCCTAAGAGAAGCGTGGACTTCAAATGAAGAAAGAGAAGGCCAAAGGATTCCTGCGGAATGCTAAATGAACCTGGAAAGAGACCCGACAGAGGTGCGGTCCGCAGGTTCGGGGACATCGGCGCTGTGGGGAACGGGCCTGGGAAAGCAGAATATTCGCGCGGAGTTGGGGCCTGTAAGAAAGGGACCCCTAGCAAAGCAGGAGGAAGTGTGTTAGAGCGATCGCGGAAGGAAGCGCCTGAACCTAAACTGCCCGGCGGAGAAACGCAGCCCCTACCGTTCTCCCGGGGTGCCCTTGTCTCCCCTCTGTCCGCCGCAACAGCTCGATCGGTCCGCGACGCGAAGGTCTGCCGCAAAGGACGCCCGCAGCACGACACTTGCGGCGCGACACCGGCAGCCGACCTTCCCTCCGCCGTCGCGCCTGAGAAACCATAGAAACCAAACCCCTCGATCTGCGCCTGCGCGGACCGTCCCAGCCGGCCTCTGGGCGAATTACACGGATTGAAACTGGCTTTCCCCAGAGTAACGCCTTAGGGAGTTCCTGCTCCCGGGTGGCCCGTGCCTAGCACTCGCGGGACAGCTCGGATTGGTTGAGGTCTTGACCAAGGTCACACTAGAGAAAATCAGGGCACCCCAGTAGTGATTAAACGCAGCACTGTGGACCCATGCTGGGTGGGGTCAGAATGGTTCTGGGAAAGTTAATCTCATTTTGCCTCAGTTTCCTATCTTAAAATAAAAATACTGGACCTCCCTGGTGGCGCAAGGGGTTAAGCACCACACTATGAAGCAATCCGCAGCCTCTGCAGCACGAGTTCGATCCCCGGCCGGCCAGGGAGCAACCCACATGGCGCAGCAGACCTCTCCTGTCTCGCCCACTGCTCCCCTCAGCAGTGTATTTCAGTAGATCCGCCTGTTCTACTCCCCACTCTGTCTCTGTGAATCCTTTCACCCTCCACACCTCGGGCCTGTACCCCAGCTCTTGTATGCATAAATAAATCTTTAAAAATAAAAATAAAAATACTGTCAGGCCTCCGGGGTGGCACAAGAGGTTAAGACGCAACCTGTCAAACTATCCGCAGCCACTGCAGCATGAGTTCCATCCCCGGCCAGGGAGCTACCCACATGGCGAAGCAGACCTCTCATGCCTTGCCTGCTGCTCCCCTCAGCAGTGTGTGTCAGTGGATCTGACTGTTCTGCCCCCATTCTGTCTCTGGTGAATCCTCTCACCCCCCCACATCTCTGACCTGAACCCTAATTCTGTGTGCATAAAGAAATCTTTAAAAAAATAAATAAAATAAAAATATTGTCTTAGAAAGGTAAGTACCCACAGTTTAAGAGATTAACTGAGTTATGTGTAAAGCACCAAGGCGGTGACTGCCATAAAGAAAGCACTCTGAAGCAACAAGGTTTTAATGTCTGTTCCTAAAGTTTGTGAGTTCAGGAAAGTGGAGGAGACCATGTCCTCCTGTTTCAAAGCCTCCAATGACTCCATTTGACTATGGTGCAGCCTTGGAAATGGTGTGTGTGGGTACCATAGTGTGTGTTATATGTTGGGGGTGTGGGAAGAAAATACTAGATATTTTTATTTTTATTTACTCTTTAAATTTCTAATTTTCTATTTTTCATTTTTGGTATGTTTATAAGGGGCATAACATTACTGCAATTGTACATATAAATGACATATTTGCACTGAAAGTGTATTTCCCTTTTAAGTGGTGTGCACTCAAAAAATCCAGAGAAATACAGCCTTTCAAACTTCCCAGAATCATTGTCCAACCACCCCTACCTACCTAGTAAAGCAAACAAGAACTTGCTTTTCCAATGTAAAAGTTCTGTCATCCAGTCTCTTTTTTAATCTTTCCCCCTGGAATGACACCATTTCTACCCTGTGTCCAATTTTTTGGCATGTAAAATTCTGGCTCTACTTCAGGACTTTTGCATAGGTTTTCCTCCCAAACAGTTTACCCATTATGGAGAGGATTCCTAAGGTCCCACAACTTCCTGGTTTGTCTTCCCTTCTTTCTTTCTTCCCTTTTTTTTTTTTTTTAAGATTTATTTATTTATGCATACAAGAACTGGGGTAGAAGGTATGTGGGGGGGAGAGGATTCACCAGAGACAGAGTGGGGAAAAGAATAGGCAGATTGACTGAAGTACACTGCTGAGGGGAGCAGTGGGCGAGTCAGGACTGAAGTACACTGCTGCATCATGTGGGTAGCTCTCTGGCTGGCTGGGGATCGAACTCGTGCTTCAGAGGCTATGGACAGCTTCATAGGTTGCGTCTTAACCCCTTGCGCCACCAAGGAGGCCCCGTCTTCCTTTCTTTCTTCTCCTCATCAAATCTATATCACAAATGAGATCAGAGTTTCAATTCAACTAGAATGTCCTGAGCACCTGATGCATGGCCAGCAGATACTGGAGGATTATGAAATTAGTAACTCAAGACTGTCACCCTCAAAATACCAGAGGCAACAAGATATTTTTTTTAAACAACTTTCTTTTTTGATTCCTTATTCCTTTTTTTTTTAAAAAAAGATTTATTATTTTTTGCATGCAAGAGCTGGGGTACAGGCCAGAGAAGCGGCGGGTGAGAGAATTCACCAGAGACAGAGGGGGAACAGAACAGGCAGACTAACTGAAATACACTGCAGAGGGGAGCAGCAGGCGAGACAGGAGAGGTCGGCTGCACCATCTGGGTTGCTCCCTGGCCGGCTGGGGATTGAACTTGTGATGCAGAGGCTACAGATTGCTGCATAAAGCAGTGCTTAACCCCTTGCACCACCAGGGAGGCCCCTCTTTTTTTTTTTTTAAGATTTGTTTATTCATGCATACAAGAACCAGAGTACAGGCCAGATGCGTGGGAGGGTGAGAGGATTCACCAGAGACAGAGCGGGGAGCAGAACAGGCAGACTGACTGAATTACACTGCTGAGGGGAGCAGGGGGCGAGACAGGAGAGGTCTGTCGCACCATGTGGGATTCTCACAGGCTGGCCAGATTGAACTTGTGCTGCAGAGGCTGCAGACAGCTTCACAGCGCTGTGCTCGACCGCCTGCACTGCGCTCAACCGCCTGGGCCACCAGGGGAGGCCCAGAGGTAACAAGGTATTGATCACCACCACCCACTTCTCTGTGTGTGTGTGTGTGTGTGTGAGATATCATCTTCCCATTCAAACAGGAAACTCAAGAAAATGCAAGTAGTTTCCATTTTCCTTATATTTCATCCAAATATTTAATTACTGTCCAATTTTTTTTCAAATATTCCTTCCACTGGTTTCCAATTTATGTCTTCCTTCTGCCTCCCAACTCCTCATTTCAATTGGTTTTGCACAGATTAATCTTCCTAAAATACTGATTTCATTGTATCACTCCTTAGATAGCAGGAAGATTAGTACAAATATAGGTGATTCAAATTCCTCCAAGGTTACACAAAATTTGCTATAAAAAATGAAGACAAAAACATCATGATAAATGGCAGCTTACACAGTTTGAAGGGTAGAAGGAGTTGTGACAACTGTGACAAACTGTAGGGCATATGGCCTGTCTATAAGTGGCAGTAGTTACTCAGTTTTTAAAAAAAAAGATATATATTTTTTAATGCATATAAGAGCTGGGGTACAGGTCAGAGGTACGGGGGGTAGGGGTGAGAGGATTCACCAGAGACAGAGTGGGGAACAGAACAGGTAGATTGACTGAAATACACTGCTGAGGGGATAGTGGGCAAGTCAGGAGAGGTCTGCTGTGCCATGTGGGCTGCTCCCTGGCTGGCTGGGGATCGAACTCATGCTGCAGAGGCTGCAGACAGCTTCACAGTCTGTGTCTTAACTCCTTGCTCCACCAGGGAGGCCCCTCAGTTCCTTTCTATTGCCGTTGAGTCTGGGCCCCAACTGGTCAAGAGAAACCAATAATCATTTATTTAAATATGAAATCTCCCAATTTAAAAATGTGGGGCCAACTAATTTTTTGAAGATTTACTTATGCATACAAGAGCTGGGGTGTAGGCCAGAGGTAGTGGGGGGGAGTGGATGAGAGGATTCACCCGGGACAGAGTGGGGAGCGGAACTGGCGGATCTACTGAAGTACATTGCTGAGGGGAGTAGCAGGTGAGACAGGAGAGGTCTGCTGCACCATGTGGGTCAACTCCCTGGTTGTGGATCGAACTTGTGCTTCAGTGGCTGCCAATAGCTTCATAGTGTTGAGACTAAATGCCTTGTGCCACCAGGGAGGCCCTGCAAGTGTGATTTTTACAACAAAACAAAAACTCTTATTTGCAGAGGGGCAAGCCTATGCCATGGCCTCCTTCCATTTCGGGATTGGGAAACAGGCTTAGAGATACTGCGGCGATCTGTTCTTAAACTGTCTTGCTTCGCCGTCAATGCATAAAAAAGGATGATAGTTCTATAACCTAATGGGAGGGTCTTCTGAAAATTATCCTCAGCTTTTGTACACCCAGGCTGTCTGGACGATATCCATTCCTGGGACTTCCATGCTTGACCTTCAAGATGTTGTAATATTTACACACCTCTTCCTGTCATAACTCCAGAAGATCTTTAACACAGTTTCTAGAGATAACAATGTAGCACTGTATATGCTACCACTGACACAGCTTGAGTAAACCAGGTAGCCTATTGATCCCAGCACAGTTGGGGAAGATAAAGTATTTGGAGGCCTCCCTAGTGGCGCAGGGGGTTGAGCGCAGTGCTATGAAGCTGTCCACAGCCTCTGCAGCACGGGTTTCATACCAGCCGGCAAGGGAGATACCTACGTGATGTGGCAGACCTCTCCTGTCTTATCAGCTGCTCTCCTCAGCAGTGTGTTTTGGTCAGTCTGCCTGTTCTGTTCCCCGCTCTGTCTCTGGTGAATCCTCTCACCCTCCTGCACATCTGGCGTGTACCCCGGTTCTTGTATGCATGAATAAATCTTTAAGAAAAAAAGATAATGTATTTGGAAACTTGTCCCCAACCTCACCCTCGTGATCCCCCAAGTCTTGAGATGTAGGATAGACATAACACGGCCAATAAGCATACTAACTTGAAAAAGAAGGTAATGGGCCCTAAGACCTGGGATTTAGAATCAGAGTGACCATTTAAAGAATGTCTCATTGACGGTAAAGAAATTATCGAGTGGAAGGTGAAACAGAACCAGGAACCACTGAAATAAGCTGAAGTGGGGAGGAAGGTTGTGCTGGGCTCCTGGTGGTAGGCCAACGATGCTGGTAAACATTCCATGTCTAGAACAAACTCCCCTCACGCTGCTGTGTGGAGCTGCCTCTTGACTTTAATTAGGCTTCCCAACAGATATGATTACATGAAGGAGAAACACAGATCAGACTGAAGGAGCAGTCTACTGCACCTGACATACTTCTCATAAATTAACACACTGGAGTCTGGTTTTATGTCTGGCTAATACAGCTTTACTAATGAGTCAGCCTTCCTGGGTACAGATCAAGGCAATTAAACCAAACCAGCTGGAGGGAAACTGCCAGGTGGCTGAGTTGCCTTCCCTAGGTAACACCCTACTCTGTCCAGATGCACAGGACACTTATCAGAGCAAGTTTTATCACATGTCTGCCCACTAGACTGAATTCTGTAGGTGAGGACTGCATTTCTTTTGGCTGCAGAGACAACCTGCAGGAGTTTCAGGTAGTGTACTGATAAGGAAAAGAGGAGCAGCAGCCACGTAATTTATTAGTCACTCATCACTGAAGAGGCAAGGACAGAGATAAAAGATCAGTGTAGGTCAGGCAGTTAATACAACTTTATACAAGGACTTAAAACGAAATGCTAAAATGAAATACTCTAATAGGCTTCCTCAGAAAGGTTCTTCTTACAACCCAATCTAGGCATCTCATTACTTTTATTTTCACTTTTAAACCTTGGATTAACTTGTTTACTAGTTTGTGGTGCCTCACAAGAATGGAAGCACCTCAGAGAGCAGGGACCTTGTCTGTCCAGTTCAGTGGTTTATTTCTAATGCCCACAACAGTACTTGCAAATAACAGGTGTTCAACGAGCATGTGTCAGAATAACGAACTTTGCCTTGAAAAAGGGAGCAGAAAGACAATTGCCAATCCAGTAGGCATTTTGCAAATGAGAAGGGATTTAATTCCAGGCAGAGAACTGAGCACCACAAAAAAATAAGCTGAGTTAGTGCTGAAGACAGTTTGAAAGATTTCAATATTCCATACAAGAGCTAAAACCAGTTTTTAATAGGTGGTTTTAAGAGAATGTCAACAAAACAAAAAAACACTAAAAAACCTCAGCAGCAATTTCTCTGGATTAGTTAAGGGACAAAAACAAGCCAAAGGGAAAAAAAAAGGATTTTTGGAGATTTATTTATGTATGCATACAAGAACTGGGGTGTAGGCCAGAGGTGCAAGGGGTGAGAGGATTCACCAGAGAGAGAGTGGGAAACAGAACAGGCAGATCTACTTAAAATACACTGCTGAGGGGTGCATCGGGCGAGACAGAATTCTGCTGCACCATGTGGGTCAGCTCCCTGGCTAGGGAGGCCCTAGAGATCTTTTTTTGATTAAGGAGCTGAGCTACTTTGCCAGCCTTGTAAAGCCCGGAGACACCCTTCCTGGCTATCCTGGGTGGAGCTAAAATTGCAGACAAGACCCAGCTGATCAATATATGCCAGACAAGTCAATGAGATGATTATTGGTGTGGAATAGCTTTTACATTCCTTGAGGTGCTCAATATGGAGATTTTGCTTGATGAAGCGCCAAGGTTGCCACAGATGTGCTATCCGAAGCTGAGAAGCCTAGTGTGAACATTGTCATTACTGTTGACTTTGTCATTACTGACAAGCTTGACGAGAATGCCAAGACCGGCCAAGCCATCATGGCTTCTAGCATATGGTTGATTGGATGGACTCCTGATCCTGAGAGTAGCTAGGACACTGAAGCCGTTGCTCTGACTAGGCAAATGGTGTGGAACAGAACTGTGTGTGTATTTGAATGGGAAACTTTTGCCTGAGGAACCAAAGCCCTAATGGATGAGGGTGAAAGCCACAAGCAGGTATGGTATAACCATTATGGTGGGTGGAAACACCGTCACTTGCTGTGCCAAATGAACACAGAGGATAAAGTCAGCCATGTGAGCACGGTGGGTGGAGCCAGATTAGAGCTCCTGGAAGGCAGTCCTTCCCAGGGTGGATTCTCAGCAAAGTTTAGTACTTTTCCTGCCTTTGGGTTCCTGTGCACAGCCCGTCAATTCATAGCTTTCTGCATCTCCACACACTCTCTGAAGCTGTTTTCAAAGAGACTCACCAGGGCAATCACTGTTCAGTAAAAATGGTATTAAACTATCTTTAAACCCATGCTATCTTCTAGTAAACATTCTAACATTTTCACATGAAAATTTCAAATTTAAGTATGTTGAAGAGAAAATAGTTACTCTAAACCTTTTTCCCAGTAGTATGGTCCCCATTCCCATCCTCGAAAATCATTGCTCTAAAAAGTTGCACATTAGCTTTTTCTTTAAAATGGTAGTTTTTATTTTTAAGCTTAAGGTTTTTTTTTTTTTTTTGCCACACTTCATATCCTAAGAATGATAGATTAGCACACATGTCCAACAGTCCAGTATGTGCCAAGTTTTCCTTTGTCTGTATGCTCTCTCGAATGTGTGTCAATACTACCGTGTAGTGGCCCACAAAATTTTCAATGAAAGGGCCAGAGAGTAAGTACTTCCAACTCTGTGGCCATATTCTCTCTGTCAAAACTCAAGTCTGGAGCAGCAGTGTGAAAATAGCCATAGTCAACTAACAGGAGGTATGGCATGTTGGGATAAAACTGTTAAAGAAACAAGTCGCAATTTGATAACTTGGGCTACAGTCATTAACAAAAGATTCACTCAAAGAAATTACTGAATTCATTTGTCATTCATGTTTTCTTTTTTCTTAGTCAAACACTTAAACGTACAAATTCTATTAAGAATGTAGATTTTGATGTTAACAAAGGGCTGATCATATTGGAAAGTTGAGAATCACTGATACAGAAAGGAAGGTTTTGGCCTTCAGATCTGATGACCACTGTAAAGAAACCTCCTGTAATTTCCAAGTGCACAATCTCTTATATACCATGCTGTACTAAACATTTCCTTTACACGGAATATTTCATTTTATCTCACATTTGAAAACAAAACCCAAACTTGAAATAGGAAACTATAGCTCAAGAAGTTCAGTAGCTTGGCAAGTCTCACGTAAAGAAGTAGAGGCAGAATGGACTAAACTCCAGTTTGAAGGACACGCAAGGTCATTTCTTTAACTAATATATACTAGCCTACCTACCCTTCCTAGTGGGCACAAAAGACTGACCATGTTGGCCCAAATTCTTGTAACATCTGACAATCTTTCCTTGGAGAAGCTTATAATAGTATTTGTTGATTTCTTCCCTGGGCCTTGACCTATCTCCATTGGACTAAGATATTTCCCCACCTGGGAATGCCCTGAAGTTTAAGCCCTACAAATCACTATCTAGGGAACATATCTTCTTTCGCTAGTCTAAGGTGCACCTCCCTTTCTAGCCTACGAACTGTCTTTTCTCTAGATTTGCCACTAAACAAGTATGTCTAGTTTGTTTTGAGAATGTCCTATGGTGGTATGTGGTCTTACCCTTTGGCTCCAAACAGCAAACATATAAACAATAGGCAAACACAGGGTGCGGTGTGACGGTGTATGTCATCATCCTTGTAAAAACCTACTCTGCTTCCTAGCCAGAAACTATTTAGTAAGAATAGGGAGGGAGTGAGCACATCATACTGATTCTGTAACATGACTTCAGAGAGGCTGAGTTCCCCACTCCTGGTCCATCCTTCAGGACTTCTGATGGCCCCATTGCTGTCCTTCCCTTGTTTTGGTGTAACTATCCTACTGTTAGGCCACTCCTATTACAACCACTGTTATGCTCTTCCTTCCGTGAACAAGTGACTATCCTGGGAAAAGAAGAGATGAAACAAACTGCCCCTCAAATATGAACTAAAGGAATTCTTTAATGATTAAAAACTCACTGCAAGGCTCTAAAAAAAGTCTATAAATCTTAAATGTAATGTTGAACTGGCGAACTGCTATAGCAGTCTCACTTAAGTTATCAGAATAAACATTATCACAGTATTAAGAAGGCAAGGTAAACAAATAGCTTAAGTATTTTATTTGTTTGCAACTAAGCTTGTTAACACTATATAATGAAAATGTACAAAGAATAACATTGCAGTTTTTGGTTAGATTTAAGTCAAAGACATTCATTAATAAGGAATCTTCGAATGTGAATATTCCAGAAATTTCTCTAAGCCATCTGATCAGAACAACTGTCTCTGAATATCACCTTTGGAAGGTATTGGCATACATTTGAATTAAACTCAGAAATTTCCAAAATAACCCTAATTAAAAAAACTATTCTATATTCAAACTAAAACAATTTTAACTGAACTTTCCTTTTTAGAAACAATAATAAAGGAAACAAGGCATTTTGTAAAATGTGGTCCTGAACAAGTCACAGTAAAAAATAAATGTATACTTAACTTCCACCTCCTCAAAACAGAGGCTACTTTCTGTTCCTCAGCCTTGGAAACAAGGTGAAGAACAGCCTGTAAGCAATTTCGGGCAGGGGTTGCCAAAACAAAGCTTAAGCAGTTGAACATGGACACCTCTTAAAAGCTGGGGGAACCTGACCAAAGGATTCAAATTCTATGAATAACTGATACAAAAGTGGTTCCTCCAAGTAGCAATGCCGCTGGGGCCTGGCCCAGCCCGGTGCTCACCTGTTATGCTCCCAAGCGAACCCTGATGCTCCTGCTCCTGGGGAGACGTTTTCTTTTTAAGAGGTTCAGTGTCCAAGGAGCTCTTTGTGTGAATGAGGTGAACACAGACTCCACGTGGGTATTTTAAGGCTTGGAGTCAAAGTATTTTTCTAAGAGGGCTAGGCAGAGTCCATGTGTCAAATGGCCTGTCTCCACTTTGTTCTAATTCCTCACCACATTTGTAGATCTAGGACCACAGAACTTTGTTATATTGTCATAATCACATCTAAAGTCCATCCTAACTTATGATTCTTATTCTGTGCCCGGAAACAGTCCCTGTATTTAACAATAATACCTACATGTAAAATAATCCACTGTTACAACCTGTATGGTCACAAAACATTAATGATCCTCTGTAGACCAAGCAAATGTTTTTAACCATAATTGTCGTGCATCAAATTCACAGCCAGAATCCCCAAGATCAAAAAAATTTGCACAATACAAATAATAACTTAAAGTACACATACACACATAAACACACACTCTCACACACACTTCTTACAGACTGTGCTTGGGGAAACTCCATTTGTTGAGTGCCACTGAGGGCATATTTTGCTAAACTGCTGCTCCAGGTATTTTTGTTTGGAAAATCTATCACAGTAGGGCACAGCTGTTTATTGGATGAGCAGAAAAGAAAGATATGCTTGTGGCAACCAGAAAGTTTTAAGGTCTTTCAAGTTGTATAAAATGGACCTGCAGAAAACGTTTAAGTGTTCTCAGGATGCAAAGTTGGAGCTGAAATGTGATATCAAACCAGTTGCAAAAAGTGTACAGCAGCCATCTCTTGAGGTCAAACCTGGTACCCAGATATGCAAGAAAGCTTCAGGACACGTCTATAAATTAGGAATAAAAAACAAAAGAATTAAGGATACTAAAAATGTAGTATATGGCTTTAAAAAAACAACAATACTAACTAGTGGCCATTGTAATAACAACATGAGCAAAAGGAGTAACCACTTGAAAAGGTCCTAAATTCTTGAGAATTTAAGAAACCTGACTCAGGGTCCGTTTAGGTATATAATATTTATAATTTATGACTTGAGTAACTGGTAGTTTCAAGATGTTTAATATTAAGAAATTCTAGTTATACATTTGATGAGCTAGTTTAAGGAATTAACTTTAATAAATTAACAATCGCAGTTCTCTTTCTGGGGGAAAAGCCAAGAAATAAATACACTGGCAGTGAAGTCAGACTACTTAGGTTTTAAGCCTGGCTGACCTATTAGCTACATGAATTCAGGCAAATTATTTAAACCTCTTTAAACACCATCCTTACCTTACCTGTAAAATAGGACTACTAATTATCCCTCACAGGGTTACTGCACATTAAACAGACTTTGGTGAAGATTTACAGGGTTTAACAAAAATCTGAGCACGTACATATTCTTTAAATATTAGCTATTAGCTTACTTCACAGGGGCTTTTGGTCTCAGGAGATAAAATCACTTCCAAAATCTTGCTCTTGAAAATTGGAAAATTCAAAGAAAAATTTTGAATACTTACAGCTTGTTGGCCTTGTCCCATACCGTCGCATAATCTGATCATGTGTGAATTTCACAAAAGATTCATATTGTTCTGTGAGGGGAAAGACAATATATACTATCCCCAGAAACTCTCCCCCAGCTTTTCAAGAATCCAGTGACAGGATAGATCTAGCTTCCCTTTCTGAATTATTCAGTGTCAGGCCCTCCTTATAATGGTCACTCTGAAATCTGTTACTACTTCTTAGACCCCAAATCTGTGGCTCCCAGACACAGTCACTAACCATCTGTAATATTTTACTAATAATCTCATCCCTGCTGCAACTCCATCCCTTACTCATGGTTTCCTAAGACAGACAGATATGCTTACTACAGGCTAGCAAAATTCAGAAAACCTATAGGACAAAGCTTGAAAGCTCTTTTCTGCATTGATCTTTGCTATAAATTTTAATATACACCTTAAGGGAAAGAACTGTGTTGGTTTGAAAGCTTAGAGAAAACTCCATACCCCCTACTTGTAGACATTCCCACAAAAGTTGCTGCAAAAGGGAAATTCAGAAGGACAAACATTTTTAAAAGAAAGCCAGCTGATCTGAACAATCTTGGGGGGAAGGAAGAAAAAGGGTATGATATACTAGAGCTGCTTCTTCTAATCATATAAATATTAAAGTATCAAAGAAGTTCTACTACAAAGAAACCCATATAACTTTGTTGTTAAACCAACAGTTCTCAATTCAAAAGCAGACCTATTAACATTTTGAGGAAGCACATGGTATAGGTCACCAGGTTAGGAAACAATACTGTTACTGAGTAAGTTATTGCTGAAAAATTCTCTCATCACAACATTGTTTCCTTTCACTAAAACAGACACTACTTTCTATTCCAGATTCAGATCCCTCCCTCTCACAAGACTGACTAGTAGCCATCATTCCCTCTGTTCCAGCCTGATCTGTGCTTTCCAGACTTCAATGTAACTCCAAATCACAGGATGCCAGACTTCCCACATCCACAAAGTGACTCCCACCAGGAAGTCTGAATATGTGCCACTCTTCAACCACCTGTTGGAAGTTAGCATCATCCCAACCACCTGTTTATCAGCCAGCAGGCCCATTAACCTATTCAATGCCTTTATTCATATGGAAAATCCCTAAAAGAGAAGCATGGCTTATCCTGTTTCAGAAATGTAAATGAAGTTCTTCCATAAATGTATAAATGAAATGTTTATAATCACTAACGAGAATAATTTAATACTCAGAAATCTTTAAACCTTCCTGCATGAAGTCTTACTCTTTCTAAATTACTATTTACTTTACCAGGGTTAATCCTTACTGAACTCTATTAACAAAGGCACATCATTGCCTCAGCCTACCTGCTAGTTTGGTATTGAGGATCTGCTCATATTCCTCCCGGATTTTATCTTCATAGTCTTTTAAAAGACGCTCACATATTATTCCAACTTGTCGGAGGGTAAAGGTGGGCTGGTCCTTCTTCATCCAGGAGGAACCTGGCCAAAAGACAATCTAGTTTACACAATACATTCTCGTTCTACAGTTCAATACTAATGGCTTTATGCAGATAGATCTAGGATATAAAAATTGGTCAGAAAAAAATAGATTTCACTACTTTATAAGGAATATTTCTACAAATTTCTAAGTTACTACCATTTGTTTTTAAAACGCAAAAAGTACACTGTGAAGTATGAGGTAAATAATGTGATCCAGGTGAGCAAACTAGAAAATAGTTCTAAGCCATAATAATCTGAGCCCATACTACTAGTCTATTTGGCAAAGTAAAAGAACAAAACGTTTAAACTGATCAAGCCTTTAGTTTGGATTAGAGAAAGTAGATTCACAGCATGAAAACTACCCAGGCTCTTGAGATCTTCTAGACCATGTTTATCTAAGGTGGTACATCATAATTATCTTTAGTTTAACAATAGAATAAAAGAGGATACACATTCTGATTTAATTCTGGGCTACAGCTTGGGTATCTTAAGTTCCATGAGTGATTCTGATAAGAAATGGTTAGGAGTCTGAGGTGCAGGTCAAGTGACTTGTTCAACACTGTTGGCAAAATCAATGAAGCAAGTAGACAGTCAAGCACTATACATCTTTTTATTCTTTGCACAGAAGAACTAGGGTGCAGGCCAGACATATGGGGGTGAGAGGATTCACTAGAGACAGAGTAGGGAACAGAACAGGTGGATCCTCCAAAAATACACTGCTAAGTGGAGCAGCGGGTGAGACAAGAGAGGTCTGCTGCGCCATGTGGGCCAGCTCTCTGGCCAGGGATAGAACCTAGACCATAGTGGGGATATCACTGAGACCCAACCAACTGAGGGCCTCCCTATTGGCCAGGGCAGGCCATTAGGGAAGCCCTCAAGCACTATACATCTTACTCATCCTTGATTCCTTTGAAATCTAGGGTGAAAAGAGTGAAATAGTCACAAGACAGTAGTTAGAAACCATTGGAATGTACAGAAAATGTGGCATCAGCTTCCTGATCATAAAAGCAACAGCTCGAAAATATATACACATATATTTTGTTTTGGTATTGTTTTGTTTTTTTTTCCCTAGCACATCTTACAAAATCACACCTGGGCATCTGCTTATAGAACAGTACAGTGTAGGAAAAGCAATAAAAGAATTTAAACATACATTGAAAGCACAATATACAGACTATGGTTTGAGCCCTTGTAGAAAAACAGTATGGTTGAGCTGTTCTTTAAAGCTCAGCCTAGAACCCGTTTTTTCAATCCTCTATATAAGCCATTTAATAACACCTAGCAACAAATCATTTTTTGCTTAAAACAATTTTTTTCCCTCTACAAATGCAATCAGGCAGCCACTATTTGTACTTGTTTCTCTACCCATAACATATTCTATTACTTCAAAATGATATCACTAAAATCTTAAGAGAAAACTAAGGGGAGACTTGCTAGTTATAACCACTGTATGGTTTACCCATGCATGTGTGTGGCAAAGACTTTTGGGTTCTAAGAAGACAATTAAATATATACTTGAGATAAAACTCACAGAAAAACAGTTTAAAGTGAACAATTCAGTGGCATTATCAAATCCGTGTTCTGTAAAAAGACAGTTTTTATCAAGATAATTTTTTTTGGTACACAGAAGAACTGAGGTGTAGGCCAGAGGTACAGGGGGTGAGAAGGTTCACCAGAGACGGAGCGAACAGGCATATTGATCGAAATACACTGCTGAGCGGAACACTGGTTAGACAGAAGAGTCTGCTGTGCCGCATGTGGGTCAGTTCCCTGGCCAGGGATAAACCAGGCTATAGCAGTGACAGCTCTGAGACTCAACTCCTAGGTAACCTGAGAGGTCCCTCTCAATGTAGTTTTTAATTCTTAGAACTGTCAAAAAATATATAATGCTTTGTGAGGAAATAAACGGATCCACTGTTAAAAGAGGGAGATGTTTGAGTACTGGCAGGTTGATATTTGCAAGGATATGGCAGGCAAGACTGGTTGAACTATGTGACCATGAAGATTCCCTCCAACCCAGAGATTCTATTTTTGAGCACATCCTCTCTGAACACCTGTTAACGTTACACAACTTTCTGCAATGATGGAAATGTCCCATAGTTGTGTTGTCTAATACAACAGCTACATTGCCTACTAAGTACTTGAAATGTGGTCGCTGCATCTGAGAAACTAAATTTAAAATTTCAAATGGCTAGTGGCTATGGAATTAGACGCTCTAGTTACTGAGTACTCTTGCGTTGGATCAGAAGTCCAACCAAATCAATTAAAGGTCTTTTCCCAATTTTATATTAGGATAATGCATACACTTTACCATTTTATTTAGACAATATCAACTCTGAATTAGGAAACCATCATCTTAAGTACGGTTTACCTACTCTTATATGGACTGTGGACACGAAACTTTGCTTACCTGGAGAACTAGGTGCTGTGAGTGCTGAGGAGTGAGGCTGACTTTCTGAAGTACAAGCTTCACTTTGATTAAGAACAACTTCTAAATGTCTCCACCTCTGATAACGACTATATTCTTGTTTTATGTTCTGGAAAATTTGCTCTAATAAAAAAAAGAAACACATATTCACTTATGTCATTTCTTCAAACATTGTGTCTCTCCCCCAAGTTATTAATAAGAAAAATGTTTATACTGAATAAAGCACTATATAAGCCCAAAGCATGCCCTCTTACTGCTATTTCAACAATACTTCAAATAGCGCTATTTTGGCATAAGAGACCAGCTAGTTCCCTATGCTTGGTTTTCTGTTAACATTGAGGACCAGATTTGCTGTTTGTTGGATGATAACAAGCAGAACTTACAAGAAAAATTAAAAGTCCTTCACATAATCGAAAGCTATTTTTGATCTCCTTTAAATTTTAGAATTCCACAAACTAGGGTGTTAGGGTAAGTCCTTACTACTAAGGCATTCTAACAATAAAGCTTTTGTCCCATCTGGGTCTGGGACTCAAGATCTTTGGGAAAGACAGTAGAAACCAATATATCCATAGCTTGGACACTGACCAGGGGAAGACCTAAGATTTGTTGTTTGGAACTGATGATCAGGGCTTAGAATTTCCTGATCCCATATGAGGTAATATTTGGTTGGATTCACATTATTATTCTGAGTCAAAGGAATAAAACCAAATTTGTTAAGATTATTAAAAGGAGTCCAGGACACACAAAGCACTAGCCACTTTGAAGGACACATCTAGAGACTAAACAAGGAATCTGGAAGGATGTGGTTTTCACTTTCCAGATAATAAACTTCCTTAACCATTAAAAAACAGAAAATTATATCACCACCCCAACTCACAATTCAAATGGATAGTTTGCTATAACCATGCACTATGACCTTGGGAAGGCACTCAGGATCTTCAGCCTACTTCTTCAATATAAATGCCTACTTGATAAAAGTTCTTAGAATCAAAATCAACGATACCAGCAATTTTATAATAAATAATGGTGCAGACCAAGAACATGAATTTAAAGTAGCTCCACACATGAAAGTCCATAATGCTCAGCCTACAATGCTAGAACAATGTAGGATTAGCTTTCTTTTAAGAGTGCTAATAAGTTCATATTTCAGATCCCTCATCTTTAAAATGTATTACTCTCCAAGCACATACTTGCCAGATTCAATACAAGGATGTAAGGAACTGCAAAGACTTGAAACAAGAAAGGACAAGTATGAAGACAATGCTCAAGAGAACAGACCGTCTTTGATAAACTTCTAAGTGCCTGCTCTATGGCAAAGTGAACAAATGGAAAGATACAGTTTTGAGGCTGGTAGTACTAGCAAGTCCAAAAATCTATGCAAGGGATGCACATATGCTCATAAGAGCAATAGAGGTAATTTTCTTCCCATAAAACAGGAAAAGGCATTTTAAAATACAAGTTCCTTTTTAGTGGTGGCTAATAATTTTAATCCTTCCCTGCCCCCCCTTTTTTTGGAGGTTGTGCTTCTAGATTATATCAGACTAAGCCCATCCTCAAAATTCTGCCATGGTTTAAAGACTAACATTGGAACTCTTTAGCATACCATTCCAGACTTTCTAAGACTTGGTCTCAAATTATTTTTTCAGTTCCATCTCCCACTACAGCCAAGTTGCATTAAAAAACCTGTTCTTTAATTTGTGGGTTTTCTGGGTTTTGTTCAAGCAGTTTCTCTCTGCTTGAAATGGGACTGTGTCTCTACACCCCCCCACCCCCCGCAACATTATTCAAGATCCAGCCGACATGCTACTTCAATCTGGAAATTATTCTCCAACCCTCAAATCATGATCAAGTAATTGCTCTGCATCTAGACTCACTCCACGTTTATAAACATCTCACTGAGATCACATTACCAATCCTCTTCCATGCCTGGTATGCACCTAGTTCATTCAAGCTTAATTTTATAGGCCCTTTCCAACAAAAAGTATCATGACATCTCTTTTTTTTTTTTTTTAAGTAAAGACAATTTCTTGACCATTTCTGAGAGAACTTTACCACTTGTCAGGTAACTATGATATTATAAAATCAAAAATCAAGCCAGATTTTAAATTTTATTTTTTATTATTGGCTTTATTTTTTCTATATCTACTATGCCCTCCCCATTCTTTGGGGTATCTTTCACTTAAGCCAAAGCACCAAGTAAGCATTAATACTTATAAATATAATGATCCCCATCACAGCACTCTGCCATATTTAGGCTTCCAAACACATTCAACAATCCTGTATTAAGCATTTGCTGTAATGTGAATTGCAACAGAATTAGTCTAAAGAGTAATTTTGGGATAAAACATTTACACAAAGTTCATCCAGGTAGACAGGGAATATACTAATTCCTTTTTGCTGAAGAGAGGTCTAGAAAGATTATGACTACCCTTGGCTATCTGCAACAGCAAATGGAAGAAAAAAATATCACTTCAAAAACACATCTATACTCCCTGCTTTTGAAAGGCTCTCTACAAAGAACTTGTGCAAACATTATCTCACTCAGTACATAAGGCACTGCAATATTAAGTGGTCAGGGAATTTAAAGTAGAACAGAGTTCCTTATGAGGCAGGGTTAGGCAAGTAATGGATGGGAGACTTGAAGAAATGACTGTATTTGGATTAGCAAACAGCAAAGAATAACACCATGACAGGCAAGGATATAGGCACAGTTACAGGGGTCTGGGGGAAAAGAGCAAAGGCATAGTTTGAAGAAAACTGTATAAAAGACTGATCAGGTTAAGATGTGGTTACAGCTGATAAAGTCTTTGAATGCCAGCATAAAGAGGTGAACATGAGTAAGGACACACCGTCACTGGGAGAGGTGTGAGAGGATGAAGACCTGAAATCTACATAGTAGACAGTCAGAGGAGGAGGAAATAAAGCCTAAAGACACTGGTATTGCTTATGCTTGAGCAATAGGAAAAACACAAAGAAATGATGTGCCAAAGTTCAGTTTCGAGAACTCTGATTCCCAGAGTCCCTCAAAAATGCTAAATACTAATTCTGATGCACTTTCTCCTCTACCTGCACAATGGTTAGGCTGTTCTTTTTTTTTTTTTTAAACTTTATTGTCACACCAGCGTTCCCCTTTCCTCGGCCAACATGGAATCCCTTATTATAAAGAGACTGTCTCTATCTCCATTGATGGCCGAATCTCTCTCTAGCTTCCGGAACCCCAGGATGTTGAATAAGGATCCTCAAACTCTCGCTAACCAACTACCGATTTCAGGTCATTTTTAGCACAGGACAATAAAAGGACATGGCCTTACAATAAAAGAACACGGCCAATCCCTTAGAAATAGGCTGAAATCGATTCCATGACTTCTGCCGTGGCGTGCGGTCCTTCAAGACTTCTGGAAACCAGGTCTCCCCGCCAGCTGCATGCAGCACAGTGCAGAAGAGCACACTCTCAAGCCCCTTCCCAGGAACCCGCCCCAGGCCCCACCCTCCAGGCCGGGTTCGTGAGGAGAATCCAATTTTCCACGGCCCACTGGCTCTGCAGGGCCGTGCAGTGGAAGGCCCGGGGAGCAGAGACAGGAGGTATCTGGGGGACGGAGGGGCCCCGAGTGGCCAGGGGTGGTCCCACCTTCCTCTTGCTGCCCACCCCTTCAGGCTCTCCAGCTCCAGCAAAACCCGAAAATCGACAATGTGGCCCCACGACACCTCCCGGATGTCTCCCATCCCCGGAAGCGACCAGGCCCAGAGGCACCGCAGTTCCCTTTTCTCAGGGCAAAGCTGGGGTACGTGAGGGAATGAACCGAGCGTCCGTGCACCAGCCCCCCGCCCCCCACAAGCCCGGCCTGGCTTCCTGCCAAGCCCGCAGCGCAGGTTACCGGGCGTTGGAAGGCGCCGCTCGCTGCCGGGCGGGGCGGGCTGCGGCAGCGTCGGCTGCGGGGTCTGCATCTGAAGCGGCGGCGGCGGCTCGGCGTCCGGGGGCCTGAGGCCCGGAGTGGGGCCGGGCAGAGGGGCGCAGCGCCGCCGCTTCGGGGAACCGGGGCTCAGCAGCGCCGCCTCGAACTCCATCGGCCGCTTCAACGTCGCCCCGCACGCCATGCCGCTCAGGGGCCAAGGACCAGGAGTGGACGCGGCTGTAAACGCGGCCCAACCTCCGGCTCCTCAGCGGAGCTCGCAAGCCAAGCCGGCTCCAATGGCGCCGCCAGCACCCGGCAGGGGCCCTGGCCCCGCCTCCTGTGACGTCACGGCCCGGCCACCGCCCGGCGGAGGGGGGGAAGCCGGAAGAGGGCCGATCTGGGAGGTCCGTCCGCAACGGTCCGGCCCGCGGCGCCCCCTCCTGAGGAAATGGAACGGTCTGGGCGGAGAGCTCGGTCACCAAGCAACCCGGGGAAGGCCCCGCCCCCGCCCCCACTCCTCCCAGGGCCCATCCCCCCCCTCCTATCCCCCATCCCCGCGCGTCCTGAGCGTCGCTCCCGGGTGGCCCCTGGGGTTTCGCACCTGCGTGACACGGCGTGGGGGGAGGGGGGAGCGCGGAGGAGCCCGTCAGAGCCCGCGGGGGGCGGAGCGCCCGCGTGGGTAACCTCCTCTCTAGGCCGCTCCGGCCCTGGTGATAAAAGAAAGGGTGATTATAAAAGGTCCTCAAGGGCATTGCCCTGACTCGGGTGAAGTCCTCCCTGAAAAATGGCCCGAGACCGGAAGATGGGCTCTGGGAACCCCACCACCCCCTTAAAACTGTGTATGTTGGGATGTTTTTGGGTATAGATGACCCACACCTTCATCGAAGGAGTCGGCACTCAAAAAACCCACTGGCTTGAACCATCCAAGAATGGTGTCAGAGTGTTAACTTCAACCGAGAGCTGATTTGCCGGTCTCCCCATGTGACCTGGCGGCTCGGGTTTTTCCTCAGCTCTATCAGAATTCTTTACGAAAGTGCCGGTTGTAAAGTGCTTTTGACATTCTGGAAGGATAAGTGGGTAACAGGAGGGTTCTGCTTTTAAAAACTGTACGTGCTTGTGCATTACTGGGAAGCAGGTGCAATGCTTTCAAGTTATCAAAGGGATCTCTCTCTCTGTGATCCAAAAAAGGTTCAAGTCTTTCTCTGACTATATACATTAAATAATGACCATGCCTCCTGGCATTTGTCTGCTTCCATATATCTCTGGGCTTTTCCAGAACAACCCAATTTTCTTTTTTTACTCTTTTTTTTTAAATTGTATTTTTTTTTTAAATCTTTTTTTTTTTTTATAGAGGCATGTTTTATTTATTTATTTTGTTTGTTTGTTTGTTTGTTTATACAAGCACTGGGTACAGTCAGAAGCGCAGGAGGGTGAGAGAATTCACCAGAGCCAGAGCAGGGAGCAGAGCAGGCAGAAGGACCGAAGTACACTGCTGAGGGGAGCAGCGGGCGGCAGGAGAGGTCTGCGCGCCATGTGGGATCCTCCGCCGGTGGCCGGGGAGCAGCCGGGGATCGAACCGGCGCCGCAGAGGCCGCGGGCAGCTTCGCAACCCAGCGCTCAACCGCTGCGCCACCGGGGAGGCCCTTAAATTGTATTTTTATTTTAATTTTTTTAGAACTGGGGTGTAGGACAAAGGTTCGGGGGATAAAAGGAGTCACCAGAGACAGAGTGGGGAGCAGAACAGGCATATTTACTGAACTACACTGCTAGGGGGAGCAGTGGGCAAGAGGGGAGAGGTCTGCTGTGGCATCTGGGTTAGCTCCCTGGCCAGGGGATGACCTCGAACTCAGGCCATCGCAGTGGTAGCGCTGAGACTTAACCCCTGGGCCACCAGGGAGGGCTCCTAGATAGTCTTGTAATAGGCCATATGCCAGATCAATGTGCCTCAATGTGGGCATACCTCAGTCACATTCTTTGTTGTTTTTCTATTGCTTACCTCTGGTCCTTCCCAGATACTCCGAACTTTGTAAAGCCCCAAACACAGCAAGTTGATTTTTTTTCATTTATTTTTGACACAAAGCAGAAATAATTTTAAAACACTGTAATACCCAGTGTTACATTTATTTTATCCCACCTCTTTTCGATAAGGACATAGGACAAAAAAGAAGGTTTATAATAGATAGGGAACTAGAAATAGAGCATTAGAACCATAGAAAAAGATAATAATTATCCTGACTGAATTTGAAATGTAGTCTGAGCTACAGTACTGAAAACACTACATGTTGAATAGACGTTGTCATCTGAAAAGAATTAGTTCATTAGAGGACACAGACCATAGTTCTTTTTTTCCCCCCATAGCACCATATTCTAAAGATAATTTCTCATGGGCCTTTATTAGAAACTACTGAATGATGTAAGAGTAATCAAGAAGGTAACAACAAATGTAGAAGTAACATTCATATGAATATAGTATATCTCGTTATGTCTAATAAAAGCCAAGAACATAAAAAGCTACATATTGATGGTTATTTTTTATAAAAGTCTGGTCTAATGTAGTTGAAGAAAATTGTTTTCTTGTGGGATAAATTAGCCCAAAGTTTAGAAGTTTTGAAAAGTGTGTCCTTGGGTAGTCATTCTAAATAGTACTTCTAGCTAAGGTTTTTTTTTTTTTTTTTTTTTTTTCAAATTTATTTATTTTTTTTATATTTTTTTAACTTTTTTTTTTTAATAGAGGCATGTTTTATTTATTTATTTGTTTGTTTGTTTGTTTTGTTTATACATGCACTGGGTACAGTCAGAAGCACGGGAGGGCGAGAGGATTCACCAGAGCCAGAGCGGGGAGCAGAGCAGGCAGAAGGACCAAAGGACACTGCTGAGGGGAGCAGCGGGCAGCAGGAGAGGTCTGAGCGCCATGTGGGGCCCTCCTCCGGTGGCCGGGGAGCAGCCGGGGATCAAACCGGCGCCGCAGAGGCCGCGGGCAGCCTCGCAACCCAGCGCTCAACTGCTGCGCCACCGGGGAGGCCCCTTCTAGCTAAGGTTTTGTGCTTGATTCTTCTCTGTGAACCTTTAAAACTTTGAGCATGCCTTGTAATATTAGTGTGCTAAAACAGGAAGTTACAATTTGTTTACGTATCTGACTGTGCTTCAAACTATAAATTCCTTGAGTATAATAACCAAGACTCATGCACTTGTGTTTCTCTAACCCCAGCACAGTGTTTGAATACAGTAGGGGTAGGCACAGAATAAATATTGATTGAGTGAATAAATGGTTAATTATTTTGAGGTTGTTCTTTCTCTCCCCACAAGTTGATAGTCCACATTGCTGAAGAAGGGTGGATTCAGATGATTCAGAAACCAAACAAGTAGGTGGTACATCCTATTATAAGTTGTAGTTGATGGTGACCCAACCAGAGAGATATCCTTGAGGGAAGCAGAGAGGCTGCTAGATGGCCACTCAGTGTGGTGTCCTCTTATGAGGTCATCACAGTTCAGGTTAGCTTTGCTTTGCATATGCAGATACGTGACGAGTCATACACATGCACACATTACTAAGTGCCTTCCATACGCCAGGCACTAGGCTATAAAGGTTGAGTTTCCTAGGGCATGAAAAGACATATGGTTCCTGGGGAATAGGTAGGCTAACATTGGGTTGAGAATGAAAGAAAAGAGATAACATCATCCTCAAAAATATTCCAGTATACTTTGCCCAAAATTTCCATAGGACTTACCTATATTTGCTGTCTTCTTTTACTTACCTCCCACTCACAATCCATCAACCCTGATTTTTGTCCCTCCCATTCCACTGAAACACCAATGATCTCCAAGTTATTATAAAGGGGCAAAGTCTGCCACCCCAAAATATGTCTGTTTGGCATAAGGATTATTTTGAACTGATTATTTTTAATAGCAGACATAGGAAAAGTTATTTTAAAAGGATCATAAAAAAGATAAGCTCTTTAGAAGTCTAAGAAGAAAGACCATATTTAAGATTAGGTATGAGACAGAAATGCAGAAGAGGTAAAGATCATATGAGGGGCCTCCCTGGTGGTGTAGGTATTAAGACTCAGCGCTGTCATACTGTCCACTACTCTCGCCTGAGTTTGATCCCGGCTAGGGAGCTAATCCACATATGGCGCAGCAGACTTCTCCTGTCTCACCTGCTGTATTTCAGTAAATCTGCCTGTTTTGCTCCCCACTCTGTCTCTGGTGAATCTTTTCACGCAACCCCCTGCACCTCTGGCCTACACCCCAGTTCTTGTATGCATAAATAAATAAAAATAAATCTTTAAAAAAGAAAAAATATATATAAGAGAATACTACTTAAACATAATGGCAATACATTGGAAACTTGCAGAAGTGGATAGTTTCCAATTAAGTTATAAATTATGCAAATTAAATAAAAAAGAAAAGGAAGACTGTGGTATAATAATCATCATGGAAGAGATTTTAAAGGTGATTAGAGATGTACCATCTAATAAAAAGATCAGAATGTAATGGTCTTCCAACTAAATTCCACCTAATCTTTAAAGAACATTTTCACTGTTATTTAATCTACTAGTTCAAAATATGGAAAGCTCCCCAATGCATTTTATAAAGTTCACATAATTAAAAAAAACCTCTGATACAAACAATTCTAAAAAACCACTATGACCCACGTTTACTAATAAACAGAAGCAACATTTCCAAATAAAATATTAGCAAGTGGAAATGGACACACAAGAATAACATACTGTGATCAATTGGGTTATTTCAAACATATGAGGTTGGTTAGAATATTGGGAAATGTATCAATATAATTCATAAACTCCATGAATCCAAGAAAGAAAAGTCTTAAGATTATGTCAGTAGATGCTGAAAGGCTTTAATAAAATTCAATAGTATTCTTATAAGAATAGGCTATTTTCTCTAATCACCTGCCAACAACAATCTTGCCCTATCATTGCAAATGCAAGTCCTTTAATATACAAAGGGACAACATTCATAAGAAAAAAATAATGAAGTGAAAAATAATTTTTTTTAATTTATTGAAATTTTATTTTTTATATTCCCCATACAATTACAACCCCCTTATTTTGACCCCAACCCCTCCTTTCCCTGCCCCCCATCCCCCATAGAGTGTCTCTGGTTCATAGTTGTTTGTTGATTTTGATAGTTTCTTTCTTATAGTTATTCTTTTTCCTAGTCCCTTATTTAAGTTTTCTAGATTCCTGCTATGAGTGAGACCATCCAGTATTTTTCTTTGAATTTTTTTTTTTTTTTTTTTTTTTTTTGTGGGACCCTCGCCGGTGGCCGGGGATCGAACTGGCGCTGCAGAG